TGGGGGTGAGGGGAGGGAGAGGGAGAAGGGACTTACATGTGAAACAAGCTTGTTCCCTAACTAGAACTAATAAATAAATTTAAAAAAAAACATACATCAGTCTCTGTTCTTCTTTAAAAGTATTGATTGCATTTTCAATTTCTTCCATCATTTCTCTGAGCTTTTCAACAACTGTAAAAAAAAAACCACACCATGTCATATTTCAATATAGCTGAGTAATTAGGAGAAAATATGGACTGTCCTTAATTTAAACACATTTCTTAGCTTAAGAAATTAAAGAAACTGCTCACAAGTAAATTTTTGTGATTACAATCTCTTTCTTACTAAAGGTATTTTCCCGCACACCCATATTATTAAATCCTATAATCAGTATTTCTTTTATAAAATGTATTTCATACCACACATACTATAGTTTGACTTGCAAATTTTTATTTAAGAAAATGTTTTGGCTAGAAAGTGTGGCCAGGCACAGTGGTGCACACCTTTAATCCCAGCACTTGTGAAATAGAAGTAGCTGAATCTGTGAGTTGAAGGGTAGCCAGAGCTACATGTTGAGAACTCAAAAAACCAAAACAAAAAACAACAGTTATGCTTAATTTTGCATATAAGTATATAAACAACTGCCTATCTTTTTTCTATGACTACATAATGTATTCCATTGTATAAAACCATCTGACTCATTTAATTCTTCTGTGGATGAACCTTTAAATATACTCAATGACACAGTGAAAATCCTTGATAGATTTATCATGTCCAAGAAAGTATTTTTTAAATGACTAGTAAAACTTGAAATGCAGGGTAAGGAAAGCCCATCTACACATTAGACTTACCCCTCCATAATGTAGAGGTTCTACTGAATCATTCTCACTGCCTTCCTCCTGAGTACTTTAAATCACTTCCAAAATAAGACAAGAACCTGGCATCAATCTAGCTGACAGTTTTGGGATTATTAATAAGCATGGGCATTTGTTTCACCTGAGCTTTATATTTTTTGATACACTGTGTGCCTTATAATCTCTGTCCATTTTCCTATCACTTTATCTTGGTTGCCCTAATTTGTGGACATTCTATATATCTTATGAATATTCAATTATTAATTACATAAGTAAATATACTTTTCTAATTTGTCTTTCAACAATATTTATGGGCTTAAATGTTTCTTAAACTAATCAACTATGATCATTTTTTTCTTTAGATTTCTGTTCTTTTCTTACATAACAGAGTGTTATCAAAAAAGTTGTTGCTACCTTCCCTCTAGCACATTATGGCCTCAGTTAATTTAATGAATACTACCCATTCTTTTCCCATTTGCCAGTTTTAGTGCTTGCCATACTCCAAGCACTGCACCTGTCCTCTAGACCATTGTTCCATCCCATCCTGCCCCAAACCCTATGAGAAGGTCTATGATCTCCACTGCACAGCTTAAGAAATGAAATCTCAGAGAGAGGCTGTCATTTGCCTGAAATGTTCTAACTAATAAGTGACAGACCAAGGCTCTGGTCCAGTGTATTCTGAGTCCACACATCTTGAGTACCATGCTTTGAGCCTTCAGGAATGAATTTTGAAACAGGTGGGGGTGTGAATTTTTTTTCTTTCCTATAAACTAGCGTTTGTCCCAGTAGAACCAAACCATTCTTTACATACGTGAAATACTTCTGAAAGGTAATTTTTTTCAAAATCCAATTACAGGATGAGCAGGATAAGGGCTAGGAGTTGGGAAACCTGTCTTTTTCCACTTGGTTGGCTAAATCTGAACCTTCCTGTGCCAGTGTTTCCACCTTACAGTGTCTCTTCTGCCTGTTTTACAATGTTAAGGACTAAATGGCAGTTCAAAGGCTGAAAATCCTACATAAACTCTGATAGTATGCTTCTCCACTCTACCCTTATTAATTCCTAACTAATAAAATAGGGCTGGCTCCACTAATGCCAAATGGAAAAGAAGAGACACTTCTAGAAAAGTATACATTTTCTAATGCACCAACAGGAAAGGGCAATATATAAGACAATCTTATATTGAACTCTTCTTACAGTCAGGTGTAGGCTTCACATCTTTCAGCTGGTGCTGAAGTTTCTTTACATTGTTATGTATTTTGGCCAACTGTTGCTGGATTTTTGCTCCTGTAAGGAAAAGTCCATACTATAATTCTGTGACAAGTGTGGCTACAAT